ATCTAGGGTACCGCATGAAGTTCACTTATGTTTTCGTTTGTTTAAAAATTTAGAGGACTTTTGTTAAACCATGTGAGTTGCATCCTAGTAATACTATTGATGAGAGAGATGGATTTATTTTAGATAGGTTAATCAAAATTCATCTGACGTTAACTAGTTCATTGAAGACGAATCATATTGAACAATTACTGTTCATAAAGATAGATTTGAATCAAAATTTTGTTTTCATATGTTCTATTATTCATTCATAAATATTATGTTGAATATTGTCTTGAGTCCTTTTTCTAATGTAATATAAAATAAATAAAAGAATCAGACTCAAAATGTATAAAATTTCTTAAGGATCATTTCTCAATTTAAACTCATCCGATGATACTATTTATTCAATAGAACAAAAGCATCTATTTAATGTCACATCAGTCATGATTAGTTATATCGAGTATTACACAATTTTGAGTTAAATAACTCTATCGAACGTTTAAATGTTTCAAAATCGCTCATATGCTCATAATTCCTGCAGTATCCAAGATAGCAAGAATTTTTTTTTTTTTTTTTTTTTTTTTTTTTTGAAAAAATTTTCAACAAATTATTAGAAACATGTTGAATTTGCTATAAACAGTCTCATAACCCCCATTTATCATCATTTAATGATATAGAATTGAAAATATCTTCTTATCATCGTATTTTTATTTAACGATGACACAACTTTTCGTAACATCTAAGTTAATAAATAGTTCGTGACATATGTATGCACATATGTTTTTTTACTAGTATATTTCTTGTCATAAGACTATTGAAATACATCAGTAAAAAAATGTATACCTTGTTTTTAATCTAGTTCTTAAAACAATTCTCTTGAAAATTTTTGTTATTAATATCTAATTCAATTCATTTGAGTCATTGTTACAAGCAATCGAATTTTTTTTTAAATTTTTTGCTTGATTAACAATTGCACTTATTAATAGATGATATTAATAATAAAAAATGGCAAAATGTATCACTTTTATTTTCAATAATAAATTAAAATTCACGTACACATTCGAATCATGATTTTGTAAATTATCTGTCTAATGGTAAAGAATGTGGGTGTGAATGGAGATATCAGAGCTAGACGAAAACACTCGAATTACTCGTACTCAAGAATCAAGCATTATATAGACGATAAAATTTGGCAAATCTATTTTTTCATTCCCCATAACTATTTCAAGTTTGCCTTTAGAAATCAATACAGTAACGACATTCCATAATGTTACAAAGGTGTACTTTTTTAACATAGAAATCAAGAAATAGTTTAAGAGCAGAAAAATAAACAATACTCATTTTTTTGTCCTCAATTTTATATAAAAGTATTCTCCTTTATAATATTCGACAACTATGTTGTCATAACATTGAACACATATTTCCAAATAATCCTATTTTAAGTTCTTGTACTTAAGAATATTCTTACTTAGCTGTGCTAGATAGATATAATTCAAATTATAATGAGAATTAAAAAAGAAAATTGTTTTTTTTCTATGTATTTTCTTACATTCATTCAATACAGATGAAGAATTACAGATTTAAATAATTTATTTGATCCACTTGTATTCTTCAATGATTTGAATAATAAAATATAACTACGTAGAACAAGAAACAAAATGAAAGAGTTGAAATTACTTGTTATATATGGAAGCATGAGATAACGAAAGAATATCAATATGATTAAATCAGCAACAAAAACATTCGAAATTTATAGACAATGCGAACGAATAAATTTCAAAATTTTATATTGATAAAAGTTCTTTTTTTTTCAAAGTTGAATGATTTAGTAATATGTATATACTTTATAAATGAATGAATCTGATTATATACAACACCTAATAATATCGTTTTCGTTATGATTTTCATTCGTAACTAAAATAATTTATTGCGGTGAATCGAATGAACTAATTGAAAAACTCTTTATTTTTCATTTAAATATTGTTGATCATATGAATAATTATAATGTTTTGAGAATCTTGTTCATACACTTGTTTTTAATATTATTGTTAAAAAATTCATTTTCGTTCAATGAATTATGTGTGTATATATTTGATGTAGAAAAATAAATAAAATTGACTAAGATGATCGTAGATTAATTTTGTTTATTTTTAATAATTCAAAACCAATGAAGAATAGAACGTAAAATTTTAAGAGAGATATATGTCTATGAATTTATTAGACAATATAATTTCAGTTTTTAATGTGTCAAATTGAATAATAATTGATATTTTATCAATAACCAAAGAAAAAAGAAATAAATAGCTGAAATATTTTTAAAATGGATATTCATCTATTTCTATTTGTCGATATCGTAATAAATCATCATATTGGTAAAATAATACAATCATAATAATTCTTATTATAAAAGACAAAATAATAATAATAAATTATTTATGAATTAATCAATTTAATACATTCAAATCTGATGATATTACCATTCGATTTGATTCATAAATAAAAAAATGGAGAAGATCCTATTAGTTGAGTAAAGTATATTAATTTGTAGAAAATTTTAAGAGCAATATTATCATTAAAAAATAAGCTACTTAGGAAATATAATTGAAATAGATGATTAAAATTAAGTTTAAATAAATTATTAAGAAATTTTTTTTATCTTTCTCTATTATAATTATTATTATTATGTTCTATTGAATATCAAATTATAGTTATATTGTTTAGGTATTATAAGATGAAATAATCCAAGGGAGGGAATTCTTCAAATGATAATTGTAAACTATTTTCAATTAACTATATCTAATAATGTATTTAATTGATTATTAAAATAATATTCATAGTAAATATATATAATTTTAATTTCTTTTAAATCATGATAGAATTGATGATTAATTCAAATAAATTAAATAAAGTTGTTTGTGTCCATTGATTAATTAAACATTGAATATAGTTTTCAGATTTGAATAAATTTCAAAAAAAAAATTTCATGATCTATCTATCTTTTTATTTTCTATAATAGATATTAAATGTTTCTTTGTAATTCTTAATAACTTTATAACAATATTCCTTGATTAAAAAAATTCCAATTTCTTTTTAATGTATCATTGGATGTCGAAGATGAACAAAAAAACTAAATAAATCAAATAATATTGAACAATAATAAGATATTAACATTTTTGTACATTTCGTTTGTTTTAATTGAAGTAATATATTAATTAAATTTGTATAATTTGTTATTATTCGTTGTTGTAAATCAATAAAAAAATGTTGAATTATTCATATTCGATAATCTTAAAAATAGATAGAGATGATGGATTTTTAAAATTTGTTTTGTTAAATGGATACTATTTTCAAATAAATCTATAAGCAACATATCCATACTTGTAAGAAGTCATATGTATTTATTCGAATAACTCTCTCCGATATGTAATAATAAATGTGACAACAAAATCAATTCCTTTGTTGATATTAAATATGAATGAACAATACATTCATAAAAAATATCTATTAGAATTTTATCATTTGCAATAGATACAATTCATTTATGTTGTCGATATTATTCAAATAGTATCTTTGAGTCATTTCAATGCTCGTTTACACGATTCAAAATGTGAGAATGAATATATTAATTTGCTTTTTTGTCTACATGTGCTTGTCAATATGTTGATGTATTGTATGTTAAAGAAAATCTATCATTTGTATCATTAAATTTCAACTATCTGAAAATAGTTGACAAAAACAAAAATTTGTAAATGAATTGCATCAATAAGGTCATCTAAATATTTATCATATAACATATTTTTTTGTTTTTTTGAAATGAGATGAATTCTATGATAAATCTTCAGTGAAGAATTCATTCATCAATCTTTTGAAAAATATCGATGATATAAATCATTGTGCTGATGAATGTACTCTAAATCAAATATAGATTTATAATAGAATAATTAGTTTTTTTTCAATAATAATAAATACAATAAACTATTTGTAAAACAAAACAAAAAGATGCAAATTTACTTACTTATTGATATTCGATTTTTCAATCATATTTATTATTTATTAAATAAGGTTTTTTTCAAGTGTTTTTAATCGTATTATTGTTTTACGATCACATTCAATAAAATGACACTTCATTGTAATCTTGACAATTCTAATCTCTCATTAACTCTTACGAAAAACAAAATGTGAGCGAAAACACATATAAAACGACGACGATCGGACGATTTATTTGTTCTCGTCCATAATTATTATGATCTCAATGTATATTTTCGATTTAACCTCAATCAAAATTGACTAATTATTATTTGAACGAGAGAAAAAATGTATTGAAATGTATATAAAAATGAATGATTTTCAACTAAGAAATCATTGAATTATTTAAATCATATTCTAACCTTTTTTCTTTTATATTTTAGGTTACTTTCAAAGACTCAAAATTAATCAATTCAATATCAATACAATACAATACAATCAAACCTAAAAATGTAGGTATTAGTTTTCAATTTTTCTTTTTTCTTTTTTTCTTAAAGATCATTTCGAAGGTAGTAAGACTTCTATTGATCTTTTTACATTTTAGGTATTGGTCTCAACAACTCAATTAAATCAAGTCAATCTGAAAAACAATAAAATAAAATGTATGTATCCTTTTTTTCACTATTTCTCTTTCTATGTATTAATTTTCTTTTTTTTTCGTTTGAGCCATCAACATCGTCAAGAAAGGGTGAGTGATTATTATTTTTTCTTTTCTTATTGAGTTTGAGTTGAGAGGAGAATAAGTTAGGTTGAGATCTCTCGTACTATATCAGGTCTTCAGGATAGACCCTTAACATCGGCCAGGAACTGTCTTGGTGTCTGTGGCAACACGGTCCGGCCCCAGGCTCACTAACATATCTCACCAGATGGGTGCATGTGGATGATGTGAGTTTTCCCGCGCGTGTACGAGCGTTACGCTCGCCACAGCGCCACCAGGAGGTTCCTGGTCGCGCGCGCGTGAATAGAAATAAAAAAATTTTCGATTCAAATGCAATTTATTGAATTGAAAAAAATTGAACACGATTATTTCCCTTATAACCACCATCGACGACATAAAGATTGCCTTGTCGATCGAAAGACAAACCATGGAGATAATGGAACTGATTTGCTCCTGCTCCTTCACCATTTCCACCCGCAATAACAGTACCCTGTTTTGCTCCTTTAGGCCAACGCATGACTCGACGATTCAACGAATCTGCCACATAGATGGTACCCAACGTATCGACGAAGAGTCCGTTAGGATGAGACAATTGTGTCAGAGCCTCCCCTTGACCTTGACCTCCAGCGATGACAATGCCTTCTTTTGCACCTTTATTCCATTTCATTACACGATGATTGTCTCTGTCTGCAACGGAGACAGTCTGTTGTTGATCGACAAAGATGTAAGTCGGAAAGTTGAGCTGATTGAGACGAGCACCTTTGCCATTTCCACCAGCCACGATAATTCCATTCTTGTCTCCTATTTGATATCGTCTGACTTCATGTTTTGCGATGTCAGAGACGTAGAGATATCTCTGATCATCCATGAACAATTCATAACAATGGATGTTGTCAATAAGGATTTCTCCTTGACTTGTGCCACTACGACGAGACCATCGTACGACTCGTCTATTCCCGAAATCGCAGATAATGAGACTATCAGTCTCTTTGTCGATTAGCACATCGGTTGGACGATCCAATTGGTCTAAGCGATTTCCTTGGCCTTTGCCTCCAGCTACAACTTGTCCATTCGTATTACCCATCTTCCATTGGACGATACGATGATTGAAGCAGTCAGCAATGATCATCCTTTGATCATCATCAACAAAGAGACCTTCAGGCCAATAGAGTTGATTTGTGGCATCGCCTCGTCCATTACCTCCAGCAACGGTCTTTCCATTTTGTGACCATTGAGTATCGATGGGAATATTGGGAATAACTATAATAAAGAAAGAAAATGAATCGTCATTGTCGAAGAGATCTTTGTCTTTCATACACGAGAAAGTACTTTCCGTAACTTAGTCTATAAGAAAATGACTTCGTAAGAATTCTTTTGTGTCGACGATTATTTCTAATACCTGAAATGTTAAACTTTCAAAATTCTAAGGAGATTTCCATATACGAGTTCATAAGTGTAAAGAAAACAAAATTTTGCAAGCATGCAAATAAAGAAAAAAAGATAATGAATAGTCCGTTTCGGCAGAGCTTGAAGTGTCCTTTCAAATGATAACTCTTTCTTGTTTCTCTCTTTCTCTTCTCATGCTCATCAATTTTCTGTCTTCCTTCAAAATTTCGGCAATTTTTTCTTTCTATATCATTTCCAAGGAGCATTGATTACTCTAGCCAACGGTGTAATTTCCTTTTGACTTGTTCCCTAGACTGAAGGGAGAGTCATCTCAAGTAAAATCTGCCAGTATGTGTGAATGTGTCAGGGTGAAAAAAAAACATTGTCTGAAACAATAATGTTCACTTCTTTTCTACATCTACTCTGATAGAGCTTGACAAAAAGTTTTATGAAGTTGAGGAATCGATTGGTACCATTGGTTTTTGCAAACTTTCAGATAGACGTTTCGTAAATTAAGACGTCCTTATTGAAAATATCGACTAATTCATAAATCACATCATCTCATATTTAAGCAAAGATATAAAAATGTCCGATTCTGAATCGTCAAAAGAATCAGCACGTCCAGTAACGATCGATGAGGAATCTTTAACTGAATTAACTGAAAATAATACAATATCTGACAGTATTGTAATCGATAAAAAACGTCGACAAACTATCATACCTCTTTCCCATCAACCTAAACCGATTGATGCAGCAAAGGGTTCCGACTTTGAATCGAATAACGGTGATAATGAGAATGAATTGGACTTTGATTCATTTATTCTTAATAATTTTAACCCATATTCAGGATCAGAAAATGTAGTCGATTGGTTAGTTAACACCGATAAAAAATTTAATTTCCACAAAATCTCACGTGACCTTCGTCATTTAGCTATACCTTTACTTATTGAAGGAGATGCTAAAATAAGATATTTGCGAAATAGAAATAACATAAAATCCTTCGACGATTTTCTTGAATTCCTTTTGACTACTTATGATGTACCTGAACATAATACACGTCATTTTCAATCTAATCCATCATCGAATTCATCAAATCAAAATAATTTTACACATAATTCCATAATCCATAAAACTATATCCTTTGAAGATCAACAAAAAACTACCATGAATGATTTTGATCTAACTGATAATCTACCCCCCCGTCCTATCTTAAGATCAACCGCAATTGTTGATATGGGTGCCACCAGACTAACTGGTGATGAAACCGAAAATCGATCAACCGTTGCACCATCTTCTAACATCTCCCGTCACTCTTCTAGCCTCGATCAAACAACATATGTAATTCATAAAGCAATTATAGATAATTTAATTAAAAATCCTAAAACGTTCCAAGGAGGAAAAGAAGATGTAAAGCAATGGCTAGAGGACATTGAGCAACTTTTTGATACTGCTCAAATTCCAGACAGTCATAAATTAGATTTAATTCCGTATTCCTTACGAGGCGAAGCCCGTCGATGGTACAAAAATACCAAAGCCACATTAACATCGTGGCCCGTATTTGTAAAGGAATTGAAGGAAGCATTTCTCTCCCCCTTCCATGAAGAGTTAGCCTTTAAAAAACTTGAATCCTATACACAAGGAATTAACCAACCTGTGAGAAGTTTCTATAACGAAGTTTTAAAATTATGTGCCGAAACAGATCCCGAAATGAGCGAGTCAATGAAACTTCGACATCTTCTCAAAAAGACCAAACCTACACTTCAGTACGAAATAAGGAAGAAAAAACCCACTACAACAAAACAATTTCTTGAATATGCTAAAGAATCGGAGGAACTTCTTCAATTAGCTAATATCAATACCGAGCTTGATACATATGATCGTAATAATTCTAATACCACTAATCAAATAGCATCAACTATAACATCACCACAACCAAATGCTTCAAATCCACGTATTGATTCCACTCCTTTTCCTATATATGATAGAAAAACGAACTATAATAATTACTATAATAGTAATAAATTTAACAACAATCGAAGCAATGACTATAATTTTCATTCTTCTCAACCATTTAATTCATCTCGATCATCTAATTCTTTCAATTCATCTTTTCGACGAAATAATTCATCATATCTCTCTCGTCAACCAGTGAAATTTAATCAACCATTTTATTCTGATATTCAACGTACAAATAATAATTTTCGCCCGGTTTCATCAAATAATCAATATAAATCATCATATCCACATAATAGTAACACCAATAATCTTAATCAAGCTAATAATCAGAGACATCAAGTTAATAATATCATCGAGAACCATATCGCACCATCTCCTCAACCTACACCACTTTTGTCAAATTCTGACATGTGTACACAATGTCTAGAGACAGGACATCAGGCATCTGCCTGTTCACGTTTCTAGTACCGGAGTCATCGCAAGATGGTGTTGACTCCGAAAAGGCAACAAAAAATCCATCAACTATATCTTTAATTTTCATAAATACTCTAGTTAACAATCATAATATGCAAATATTGATCGATACTGGAGCCACCAATACTTTCATCAATTATAAAACATTACAGTCTATTAATCAATCCACAAATCTAAATAAACATTCCTCTTCTTTTGTTCTTGCTGATGGTATAGCCCCATTTCATGTTCTAGGTGTAGTTGAATTAGAAATATTATTTTCTGATCAGATAACAACAATATCTGCTCATGTAGCTCAAAATCTATGTACTGATGTAATCTTAGGTATGGATTATATAACTCTATACAATCTTAAGTTTAATATTCGTAAACAAATAGTTTCTATTGACTTGAATAATCGTCAGTACCAAATGAAAAACAATCAGAATGTACAAACCAAATTTATTCCTGTTACTCTATCCGATTCGTTATATATTCCTCGTCAATCAAATCGTTTTGCTAAAGTATCTATTCCTATTTCATCCATCAGTTCACATTTCATTCCTTATTATCAATTTTCTCTATGTAATACGTCATTTATTCCACATAAGTTTCTTGAATTTCGTAATCATTTTTCCCGTGTTACATTTTCTAATACTTCACCTCGACCACATTTCGTTCCTCGAGGAACTCGTATTGGATATCTATGTCATTATGCTATTACTCAACCTAGTACAACACGTTTTGATCATTGTCAGAAGTCATGTGGTGTCACCAATGAACTTGGTGAATCACCAGATTTTCATGCTTCAGATAATAATACGTGTACGAATAATCAAATTCAAGACCCTCTCTGTTGTGCTACAGTTAACCAAATCCATCCCTCGACTAAAAGAGATATTCATCAGTTAATTAGTAAAATACATCTAAAACAACAACGAGATGACCTTCTTCAACTTCTTTTCCGTTTTCATAAAATATTCGATACTACTAAACATAATATAGCTAATACCCCTATCCATCATATCATTAACACTATCCCACACTCACCCCCTGCTTGTAAACCCTACCCACAACCTGACACAGTCGAGATAATGTATAATATGATCCAAGAATTCCTAAAGGCTAAACTAGTAGCTGAATCTCATTCTCCGTATGCGGCACCCGCCTTCTTAGTTAAAAAACATGATGGTACACATCGTTTTGTAGTTGACTATAAGAAGTTAAATCTAATCACCATCAAAGATTCGTCACCTTTACCAAACATGGAAGATACTATACAAAAATTAGGGCAAGGTTATAAATATTTCTCTAAATTGGATCTTAAATCTGGTTTCTATCAAATCCCTATCAGAGAAGCTGACAAGGAAAAAACTGCTTTCACCACTCCATTCGGTCTTTTTCAATTCAATGTCCTTCCAATGGGACTTAAAAATTCCCCACCTACTTTCCAGAAGGTTATGACTAATGTATTAACACCCTGTCGTCAATTTGCTCTCGTTTATCTCGATGACATCATTGTCTTTTCCAAAACATATGATGATCATATTTCACATTTAACCCAAGTATTCATAGCCTTAAGTAACCGAAATTTCGTTTTAAATCCACCTAAATGTGTTCTATTAGTACCAAAAATAAATTACCTAGGTCACACGATTAGCGACAAGGTAGTTACACCTATGAAAGAAAAAATACAAGCAATCCTTGATATTAAGGAACCCCGTCTTTTATTCCAAGCCAATAAGTTTCTTGGTGCTCTCAGCTGGTATCGTAAGTTCTTACCTAATTTTTCCACTATCGCTGCCCCCATACATGCTGTAACAAATCTCACTAAAAATAATCGTCATAAATTTCATTGGAGATTTGCACAAAAACAAGCATTTAAACAACTTAAAGAAATTTTAATATCTACACCACTCTTTTTACATTTTCCTATAGCTGATAAACCTTTAATCTTAACAACAGATGCTAGTGGCATTGGTATAGGAGGCGTATTACAACAAGAAGTAGATGGACATTTACATAATTTGTACTATCATTCTCAGGTATTGACACCTTGTGAGAGAAAGTATAGCACCATAGAAAAGGAAGCTCTCGCTATATATAAATGTTTTGTCCGTATGAGACCACTTCTGTTAGGCCGACAAATTACGATAATGACGGATCATTGTCCCTTATGTCATATAATGACAAAAACAATTAATAATGCAAGAGTAGATCGCATTTCAACTTTAATTCAAGAATACAATATTGATAAAGTAGTTCACATTCATGGACGTCAAAATTGTTTACCTGATTATTTGTCTCGATATCCCCGTGAACAAAATGATGAACTATTTGATATTGAATATGGACTTGACAGTAAAACAGATTCTGCACCAATAATATCTTCAACAAATAATATAGTAGCTAGCATGATCTTACGCCCACGCAACAATAGAGGAAAATGTAGCAAATCTTCTTCATATAATGACGATAGAAATATACATAATAACAATCTACCATGTCATTCTAACACACCTGATCAATTAATGAAAACTCACATAACTTCCACCTTTTCCACTAATAATTTTGACATTACGAAGTTGAAAGATGAACAACAGAAAGATCCACTTATACAAAAATATATTACACAAGTACGCTCAAATCCACAGAACATATCATTTAAAATAAAGAATGATATTCTTTATAAAGTAATTATCCCTTTTCGTTTATCAAAAACAAAAATTGAAGTAATTTATCTTCCCAACCCCATGATATCCTCACTTCTTCATGCATCTCATAACGATCCTATGTCTGGGGGACATTTTTCTGTTGATCGTACGTATAGCAAACTAAGAAAACATTACTGGTGGCCTAATATGAAATATTCTATAAAACAACATATAAAGTCTTGTATTTTATGTCAACAATATAACATTGAGCGCCAGAAAAAACCTGGACGACTTCGTTCAATCTCACCTCCTGAGGGTCCCTTTCAGGTCATCGGTATGGATTTTTGTGGTCCCCTTAAAAGAACACCACGTGAAAATCGTTATGTATTAATTATAACTGACTATTTCACTCGACATGTTGTAGCTATCCCTTTACCTAATTCTTCTGCTGAAAAAACTGCTGAAGCCTTATTCAATGAATATTTTTGTAAATTTGGTGTACCTTCCTTAATTATAACCGATCAAGGATCTCATTTTCGTAATCAATTACTGTCTAATATGCGCTTGTTGATTGGATATAATCACATTTATAGTACTCCGTATCATCCACAGACAAATGGAATAGTAGAAAGATTTAACAGTACATTCATTCCACAAATCTCTAAATTGCAAGATTCCGAAAATAATAACTGGGATGAATATTTACAAGCAGTGGTTTTTGCTTATAACTCTGGAACTCACAAAACAACTAAATATTCGCCTTATGAATTACTTTACGGCCGCTCTCCTCGCCTTCCCTTTCATCCGAAACCATTTCATTTCTCCTTTCAACAACCCAATGACTATTTCGAACAACTAAAAAAGACACTGAAACTTTATCATCAGGCAACTAGATTTAATATCATACAACAACAGGCTCGAAATAAGGTATATTATGATCGAAATCGTACAGATCCCATTTACAACATTGGTGATAGAGTTCTTACACGAGTTCATGGTATAAAAGGAAAACTCGATCCTATATTTTCTCCAACACCAAAAGTCATCATCCACACATCTCATCCTATTTACATTGTTCGTGATGAACAAAAAAATATAGAATCACGGGTCCATGTCTGTGATTTGCGACATATAATTGTCGATTAAACATATCATTAAATATATTTTCCTCATTAAAACAAATTTCCTTTTCCTCAGCACTACCCACCTTTCATAATGTATATTCAATCGCTCGTCCTCTCCTTGATCTATCTCAGTTAATTGTCCCATTAAAACCGTTTCTCTAATACTCCATTTCATATATATATATATATATATATATATATATACGACTTATAGTATAACAACTTGTATTTTCTACTTGTGGGGAACTCCCATGGCAAAGATTGCATATATCATCATATTTAATAAATATCTAACATTTAGGTTTATTATCTTCTACCTTTTATTCAAAGCATCTTATTCCATTTTAAAATGGCTACCCTTCAATCATCTCCAACTACACCTATGTATTTTGTCCTCACAGATAGTCATGGTAAATATGTACCATCGACCATTACTACATCATCGTATTCAATAATAGTCAAAGCCGTTTCTGGCCTTCAATGGATAGATAATTATAATTCTAACTTATCAGCTTTAAAATTATTATCCAGAACTACTCTTCATTCACATCTTTCATCAACAACAGCGTTAATGTTATTAATAGGTACGAATTCAGTTCGCTGTACGCCAGCTTCCACAATAATTATCCAAATCAACACTGTCATCAACTTCTTACGTTCACGTTATATTCATTTATCGGATAAACATTGTATTAATATCGTACCTTGCTTTCCATGTTTTAAACCATTCTATCCATTAAATACATATGATTCTCTATTAGATAATATTGCTCAATATAATGCTCTATTATTTGATTTATCTATTGCTTTAAATTTCACCATAGTTGATTTCCATGTTATGGATCATCACATCGGGGTCGATCGAATGCATCTTGACTTCAAATATACTAATCTCGTAAAAAATTCTATTGTCCATTATTTTGAATATTTATCATCAACATTAGCACCATCACTTATCAAACCTACTGGTCGATCCAAAGAGGCTAAAGCTCGTCACAACAAACGACGACATATTAAACTTGCTCTTAAACAAAAACAATTTTATTTAACTCGTTCTATTACATCTTTATGGAATTTGAAATCTATCAAAAATTATTTACATCAACAAAAATTAAAATTCGCAAAAGTACCCCCTATTCATCGAAAAACTCTTCGTATTCAGTTTAATAACCAAGTCGATCTTCAAATAGCAGAAAGGGCCTTGCCTCAAGACGCATTTTCTCAACAATCGTATTCCTAAAACTCAATATGAAGCTCGTCTCTTTTCTGTCATTTAGTTATTATAAACTGTAAGTGTATGTAACTCTTCCTATGAATTTCTATCTTCTACCCTCTGTCCCTCG